TCTTCCTTGATTGTTACAATTATCACAACCTCTATTTTATGCATTTTGACTGGTTTCAACAATGTTGTTGAAGTTCACCTAAATTTTTAACACTTCTTCATTTACTTTCTCCAAGATTGTACTCATGTGACTTTCAATGCTTTGTTGCAACATGGTGTTTGTGTCATGGTTTTTCAATAATCATAGTCACCACATGATCAAACTTCATCGACATCGTTTGAAGAATTTTCTCTACCACTTTGCTATAAGGAATATCTTCTCCATACACTCTTATCCTATTGATGAGATTTGTAACACATGAAAAATATTGTTACACGAATTCAAAATTGGACATTTCATACATTTCATATTCCCTTCATAAAGATTACAACCTGGATTTCTCATCCTTCTCTACTTCTTATATGACAACTTCAAAATATTTCACACTTCTTTTACAGTTTTGGCATTTGCAATTTTTTCAAAAATAGAAAAGTCTATTACTTGTTGAATTTGTGATAGCGCCAATTGGTCTCTCCTCCTAGCAGTATCATCAACTCTTTCTACTAACCCCAGTTTAACAAAGCTCCTAATATTGTGAGTTCTCAAATATGTAGTCACCAAAGTTTCCCAATAGCTAAAATCTAATTTCTTATCTAGCTTGGGACCAAACCAAATAATATCGTAATTGGTTGTCATATCATTATGAATATAATAACTGTATATTTATTTTTGACAAAGTGAGAATCCTTTTTGTTAAATCAGACGAGGAAAATCTCACCGCAAGTTTTGAATAAGACAAATATAATACATGTTGTTAGTTCTAACAAGTTTGCTAGTGTTTCAAAAGAACATAAGTACAGGTAAAGTTGATCAAGTATCAAGAACAAGCATATACATCAAACGATCAATACGACAATCATTAAAGTTTCTAAGAAACAAATCAGAACAAAGCTTTAGACGGAAGTTGGTCAAACAAAATAAAAGTCAACAAGATTAGACGAAGAATAGTACAAAACAATAAGCATCTCTAGACGGAAATGAAAATCTATTCATATATATAAGTTAATCAGACGAAAAGGGTAGTCAAGATCAAACGTAGTATCTGGTAACCAGATGATGTCAAGAATATTGAAGCACGTCTAAAGTCCACTAATCACATTAAAAAGAATTATACAAGAAACACAGGAGGACATCAACGTGAATAAAAAAAAACAATTCAAATATCGTCTATATTTACAAAATAACACACGAGGCTGTTGAAATCATGAAGAGAAGAAGAAAGAAGAAAAGGAAGCTTAAACATCAAATCATGAGTGTATAAAAAAAAAGGACAACTGCTTTTCTGAAAAGTGAAGTCTCTGCAGCTACATGACCAGAAAAGGACAAGAAGTTCCTAGGTCTCAGTAAAAATCAGAAATAGCAGACTCATAACACACGCAATAACTAAGAACGGGAAGCAACATTTAATGCAAGAATCCGAGCATTAAATGAAAGGATCAAACTAGTCATGAACGACTATATCTGCTTCAACAGAAATATGCAACAAGCAAATTTTACAGGCCTATAAATATGCAATATCATCAAACCTAAAAAGGTTAGGCAAGAAGCAACGAAAGAATGATTATATGCCTTGCCCCGGGCTTTTGATTGGAAGAAAAAGAGTGATATCAAGCCCACGAGATAGAGACCAGAGATGAGCACACATAATTATATGTACAATGTAATATTGTATTTTTATCTCTGTAGACTAAGGTGTTCGAAATGTCAGTGATGGACTAAACCTTAGTGAGTGTTGTAAACCTATGTATCCTCTCCATGAGAGTAACCGAAACACTCAAACACAAGTCTCTGTAAAACTAAGGTAACAAACCTTAGTGAGTGTAGGAAATTCTCAATCCTCTTTGTGAGATTTATGTATGCACTCAACCAAAACTGTCTAGCCAACATTGTAAAGCCTGAAGAGGCTAGGAAAAAAATACTTGTAAAGTCCGGAGGGGCTTGTCAAAGAATACTCATTGCTAGCCAGAAGTGGCTGAGAAGAATATACTAGCGTTAGTGAGTGAAGCCGACGGGCTAGGAGTGGTCGAGAATACTTGGAGAACCAGAAGTGGTTTAAGAATACTAGAGTGGGTGAGAGAAGTCGACGGGCCAGGAGTGGTCGAGAATACTTGGAGAACTAGAAGTGGTTTAAGAATACTAGCGTTGGTGAGTAAAGCTGACGGGCCAAGAGTGGTCGAGAATACTCAAGGCTAGGAGTGGTCGAGAATACTTAGGTCCAGGAGTGGACGATAATACTCTATGTTCTTCATTTCCTATCTAGTGGAACCCTTCAAGTTGTAGGAGACTGGACGTAGCTCAGTTGAGTGAACCAATATAAAATGATTATATTGTCTTATTTATATTTCAGACGTAAATCCTTCTTAATTGATAAATCATGTTAAAATCTTCATCTACTCTCCGTTCTTTAGTAAAACCATCTTTCAGACGAAGACGCAAATTTTTTTCACAAACATTTCAAACTGAAAAGTTTTATCTACTGCTTATCCTTAAATGAAACTATCTTCAAAAAGGAAAATGCAAGAACTTTAATTATCATTATAAATCATTTTCCTAGTAGATGATAAAATCTTTCAGACGCAATGAGCTTGTGTTAAGCAAATTCTGCATAACTGTCTGACATCTAAAAGTATATTAGACGAAGAACATTACTATTGCAAAAACGCCTTCAAAATTTCCTTCCTTCACACGTACACATATTCAACCTCCCTTCTATGTGTTTTTCCGCTAACTACACTTTTTTTCCTTACACACATTAATATTTATTTTCACCTCACATTACCACCTTTCTCTCAAGCTTTGATTGCAATTGTTATTAGTAGGATAACTATAATTAAAACTGGCACACTCATGCTCAACGAAAATGCTAGAGAGGGAAAAAGAGTATATGAAATTCACTCAATTGATTCACTTGGATTAATTCAAACTTATGGTACATTCACAACCTTTTATCACTACAAGAAAAACACAAATTCTCTATTTCCAATGGATTTTCGACGGATGAAAATCTGTCGAAAAAAGGGGCGTCGAAAAAAAATCTGTCAAAAATTATTTGAAAATCTTTATATGATTTCGACAGATAAATCCGTCAAAATTTTTTTGTTTAATTTTAATAAATTTATTAATGTAACAGCCCTCATATTTGGTTTCTCAAGGATTCTATATTTAACGACACCTTACTTTTTAGCATGGTTTGTCCTTACTTGCATAATTTCCCGGAAGGTTACTCATCCCTATATTACTCCAAGTCAAGTACACTTAATTGTGGAGTTCTGATGAGATAAGCTACCGAAAAGCATATGCATGTTGTCAGTATAGGTAATACAAATTAATTCATTTAAGTCATCCTCAGCTATACAATCTCATATTTGTACTATCTTTGGATCCCTCTCATTTGAGTGTGTTCGGACCGTTATAAAATTATAATAATATATATAATAATTATATTACCAATAATAATAATTATATTATATTTAATTAATCTTTATTTATATATATACTTACTTTTATAATTAACAATCTACTTATTTCAATTTAAAATTAATATTATGAAACAATTTAAATTAATGATTATAAATTTAAAAGTTTAAATAATAATTTATATATTTTAAAATGATAAGGGCTGGAATAACACTAGTATAACTTTTACTAAGTATTACACCGCTCAATAATGTTATATTAAATGTGAATTTTGTAAATTCAACCTTAACTTAATATATTTATTCATCTTAAATCTAAGATATAGAATTCAAAAATTGTATTTATCCTTGTTTTATTTTCTAATTATCAACTATTAATAAAATACTAATTTAAAATATTATCTAATTATATCATAATATTTCATATCAAATTTAAAACTAGATATTAGTTATACAAAAATATCAAAATCATATAGTAAATTGTCAATAAAATTCTAGTTAAATAATTTAAAATAATTAATTTTTCAAATATATTGTTTGCAAATTTAACATACACCATGAGTTATTGAGCAGAGTATCTTTACTAAGAGTTACTTTATGAGTCATTTGATTCCTCCTTCTTCTCTCTCTCTCTCTCTCTATATATATATATATATATATATATTTATTTAAAATTTTATTGATGATCATTTTTAATATATGATTGTCAATTTTGGTCAAAAAATTTTACATTTTTGACAAATGTAAATTTGTCAGAAATATTTCATCAGTAATATAACTTTTCTTACAATTTTTTTTCATCGAAAATATAAATTTTATGACAGATTTATATTTTTCAAAAATTACCGATAGATAAATCCTTCAAAAATTACTGAGGATATATCCGTCAGAAATTTAAATTTTTTAACAGATTTGTATCCGTCAGAAATATAAATTTTCTGACAAATTTGTATCTGTCAAAAATTTTTGACGGATATATCCGTCAGAAATATAAATTTTTCGATAGATTTATATCCATCGAAAATTATCCGTTAGTAATATAACTTTTCCTACGAATTTTTTTTCATCAAAAAAATCCGTTAAAAATATAAATTTTCTGACAGATTTATATCTATAAATCTGTCAAAAATTATCCATCGATAATTTATATTTTTCTTGTATATAGGCACTTATAAACTAATAAAATATTAAAAAAAACCCTATCCTTAAAGCTTAAGAAAAATTCAAGGTGGTGACAAATTAGCTACTAGCTAGATTGTAATATAATAAGCCAAAACTTAATGGCTATCCAATATTACTTCAGGGTCGGTGCTTCCATGCAAGAATGTGCTTTTTTATTTTTATTTTATTTTAGTTTTTCTGACAAGTCATATATGATTTTGAAGAAAGTAACTATCATCGAATTTTCTTTGTTTCGTGACATATGATATATGAAAATACTAAATTGTTTGGAATTTAAAGATTACAAATATATCTATTCTTTTGGTTTTAAATATGATTATGCACACTAATAAAAAGAGTCAATAGTAGTGATGATTGTCTTACAGAGTATTAAGCTTAGACCAATTCCCAATAAAACTAGGTATCTTGCCATTGAGTTTGATATCAGTTGCCCACCTGCAACAAATTGACCATGTATTAAATGTAAGCGCAAACATTAATTTCATATTATATTATCTTCATTCATTTTTTTTTCTTTGAAAGCTCATTTAAGGGGTAATTATCAAGGACTTACACTATCTTGAGATTTATAAGATTAGCAAATGTCATGGGAATTTCCCCACTAATTCCAGAGCTGGAAATATAACTACAAGGATAAATATGCTAAATCAATGTCTTTCCATAGTTATGGAAGAATACAAGTTAAATATATTGACATTTGCAGAAGAAAAAAAATTTACTAATTGATCAACCGAAATCCGAAAGAAAAATAAAATTAGCAAAATCAATCCATTACATACAATACATTATGCATAGCATAACCCAAACAAGAAAAAGTACTCTACATCTATATGTGAAAATGAAAAGGAATTCATTATGCATTATGCCATGGAGATTTCAATGAAATCAAGCATGCATATGTTCTTTGATAATATTAAAATAAATATGGACATACAACTTCAATCCTAATGTCAAATAATTGTTAATGTTTTCTTGTGTCAAAGGAATAGGTTTCAGAAAAAAAAAAAAAAAAAGGTTTGATAAAGGCTATCTATAGAAATAATCAATACTGGTTATTCATCCAGAGTTGTTTGTTGGGCCTAGGTACCAAATTTGAAAGGACTTTGACCAATCTTTTTGGAATTTTGTACATCATGAAAATTTTATCTTTCCATTATTCATATTGTATTTAATGCTTTAAGAATTGTATGATGGCTTTGTTTTCAAGCCTAATGCACACTACTAATGAGTCAAACTAAATACTTTATCAGGTGAAATTAAACAACCTAAAATGATGCAAAAATTAAATGAAAATTTAGAGTGTTACAGTTGTTCTAATTTCACTAGATTCCCTAACTCAAGTGGAAGTGATCCAGAAAAGTTGTTTCCCAATAAAGACCTGCATAATAACAAATAAAAAGAACGAATCATTAACTCATTACATTTTAAAGAACAAGTTAGAATTTATTCAATAACTCAAAACATCCAATTTGAATTTTCCCTAAAAAATATGGTACAATCATTTTGATGTTGCAAATAAGTTTCCAAAAAAATTAATTTCAAGATCTATACATTCAGAACATCTAATTTATTGATTGAATTATTAAAATTTAAAGTAAAAAGAGTTATTGAGTCAAGTAAATCTTTGTAGACTAACACATATATATACACAAACAAACCAATCATGATATTAATTACAATGGTTAGTATCTCTAGAAATTCCATCTAGATTAAAGGAATAATTAACTTCACATATGCAATACATGTGCATCAAGTTGGTTACATATTCTTCTAAGTTAAATAAATTTCATGTGCACATGCGTGTAACTTACTTAAGGTGGTATTTGTTGTAATGGTTCTTGACTATGTTCTTGGCACATAAGAATCTTATTCCTAAGAATATGACAGATGATGTTGCAAAATCTAGTTGATTTTGTATAAATTGCATTCTCATTAAAAGTTTTAAGTTTGGTTTAAGTGAAAATTCTGAAAAATAAAATTAGTTTATAAGTACCTATTAATCTCTTAGCTTTATTCACACCACTCTCTCCTTTTCTTTTCTTTTTTTCTTTTTTTTTTCCTTTTTTGAGTAAAATGTCATTTTTGTCTCTAAAATTGTCATTTTAGTCACTTAGATTTGAGACTACTTTTTCTTTTTTCGAGTAAGAAAACAATACATGAATGTAATTTAAAAGGATGCCCAAAATGTGGTAAGATTTAAAATATACATCTAAAGAAAGGGAAAGACTAATCCATATTCAATCCTCAAGTGGTGAGATTTGAAAGAAGCATCCTCCTTGGCATGGGTAGAGTAACCTTCTTCGATCCCCAAGTCGTGATACAACCAAAAAAGGCTTAGTCTTAGCATGAGAATTGTGTAAACCCCAAAGATCCTCCATGGTGCCCAAGATCAATAAGGAGATATATGAAACCACAATTGACAATGGAAGGGATCTACCCCCTTTAGACAAGGTAATAAAATGACATTCTCTAGTAAAGGAAAAAGTAGATAAGGTAAATTCTTGGATAACAAAAGGTGGTAGATGATCTTAGATGATAAGAAATTGATAAGTTATGTAATATGGATGCCTCTTGACGATTTTGAGTTCAATTGGCCATATGACAGTAGACCATGAAAGATAAAACAAAAAAGTTAACCAAAACCAAACAACTAACTAAACAATCATTTATGTTATCGATGTTGAATGATGACGTAATGTATGTATTTTCATGTGGGTATTAGATGTATTTTCATAGATGTATTGTAAGCATAGTTCTAAATTGCGTTTACGGCCATTACGTTTGTGGTTAGTGTGACTATTGCAATGCAAACTGTGGTTGTTGTGATATGAAATTATTATATATTTGCATTGAGCATAAACAAATAATTCTATAATAATAAAAATTAATAAAAACTATTTTTCTTAATTTTTTACTCCAAACTCATTTCTCCCTTTCATAAAATGTGTTATATATGCACCTTGCAGTACTCCAACCAAACATCATTAATTGCTTCCCACCCACTCTTAACATCATACTAGATTAAAAGATTAAAAGTTGAATTTATGTATGTTTTATGAATTAAAAAAGTTGAATAAAATTGTTTTGCAATTATGTTATTGCAATTGCAAATTTTTTTTAGTAATTTAAATCACATCGCAATTGCGAGTCGTTGCAGTTGTAGGGAGCACCACAACCACAACATTACATTACAGCCACAATAGGTGTTGCATAACACAATTTAGAACCTTGATTGTACATCTATTTAATATATAAAAAAAAAATGTGCTTATATGCACTTTTTTAATAAAGCTTAGGCATGCACGATATCACTATAAAACTATGTCATCCCGACAACATTAACACTCCAAAGCCTACAAACCAATTGTAGCACACCTGAATATATTAAAAAAGAAAGAAAACATAACAAAGCATGGGGACTAGACTAAAACCCATGAGACAAATTAATAAAATCTAAAAGAAGGTAAATCACAATAATTAAAAAAGAAATCCAGCCATATAAAAGAGGGAACAGTCCAAATAAAATCAGCATTATAGGTTATTCCATAGCCAACTAACTTGTCAACATATTGGTTGCCCTCAAGCTTCTTTAGGAGCTGCAACAAGGCTCACACTGATGAAATGTCCAAATGTTATTTAGTGATATTTTGTAGCCAAAACCATAAGGCCTTTGCAAACAGATAGTCGAGAAAAATATGATCTATTGTTTCATTTGTTTGATCACATATACTACATATAGAGACTACAATGACACCTTAATTAGGGTTGTAGATTTTCATCAGTGGACAACTAGTTGTGAATGAGGTGCAAACAAGAAACGCTCTAGAGGGGGAAATGAATTTGGACCAAGCTCTCTATTATCCTAAAGGGAGAACAAATAAAAGAGCTTATTTAAAAGAGAGAATCCTTGAAATGGATGGCTTCCAAATGATTGGTCCACATCATAGCTCTTAGGTATTGTTGAGATGCCTTGAATTTATATCTTGTCCGTTACTATTTCTATCTTTATTTGGGTTGTAATGAGGCTGTTATATTTTATCCTTGTTATAAGGCTAAAAGGCATCTGTATCATCATCTCTATTCATTCAGAAATAAGAAACTCTTGAACTGCCCATGGACGTAGGTCACACTGACTGAACCATGTAATTTGTGTGTTGTTTGCTTTCTCTTGATCTCTTTCTTTTACAATTGTCATAACAATTGGTATCAGAGCTCTAGGTTACGCTAGGGCCTGATATGAAGAAACGCAATGTCTTCGTACAAATTCGATATTGATAAATTCAATGGATCGAATGATTTCACTTTGTGGAAATTGAAGATGAAAGCGGTTCTTGTGCATCAGGGTTACGCTGCAGCGTTGGAGGGTGTGGATAAATTACCCACGACTATGACTGATGATGTAAAGAAAATGATGTTGGAAAAGGCGCACAGTTTGATTCTCTTGAGTTTGACTGCTGAGGTTTTGCGAGAGGTAGGTGAAGAGACAACGACTGCAGGGATGTGAAAGATGTTGGAAGATAAATTCCAGAAGAAATCCCTAACCAATCGGTTGTATCAGAAGCAACGTCTCTATACCTTGCAGATGTCTGAGAATATGTCTGTGAGAGATCATCTTGATAATTTTAACCAAATTATCTTGAACCTACAGAGTATTAGAGTTAAAGTTGATGATGAGGATCTAGCTATTATTTTGTTATGCTCTCTGCCAAAATCATATGAGAATTTTATTGATACTATGTTGTATGGCAGGGATAGTATTACTCTCAACAATGTGAAGGACAGCTTACAATCTAAAGAATTGAAGAGAAGAGTAGTTTCTAGTTCTAATGTGGATGATGTAGGTCTGACAGTTTGCAGAGGCAGAAGCATGAAGAGAGGAAATAGTAGCAAGGGTCATACACGCAGCCACTTTCAAAGTCAAAGAAAGTGAGATGTTACAAATGCAAAGAGGTGGGGCACATAAGGAAAAATTGCCCACAACTAAAGAAAGAAAGAAATATTAACGCCAGTGCAGCTGTTGTTCGCTCTAGTGCAACTGTCTCTGGTGAGAGTTCAGATGAAGGAGATGGCAGAGATGTTTTGACTATCAGTACTACTGGTTTTGCTGATACATGGGTCATGGATACCGGAGCTTCTTATCACATGACTTTTAACAGGAAGTTGTTCAATTCATTTAAAGAATGGAATGGTAGTGTAAAGTTAGGTGATGATGAAGAGCTTGGAGTAAAAGGTAGTGGCGCTGTACAGATAAAAATGTATGATGGCATGGTCAGAACGTTTGATGCTTGGTATGCTCCTGGCTTACGGAAGAACCTGATTTCTATTGGTATCTTAGATAAACAAGGGTACAACTTTTCAGGAAATGATGGACAAATTACAGTTTCTAAAGGTGTTCTGGTTGTTATGAAAGGAAAGTTACAACATGAAATTTATGTTATGCTTGGCAATTCCTTTCAGGGAACGGTGTCTATATCCCATTCCTTAGAGCAACAGGTTGATAATACAAAATTATGTCATTGTAGGTTGGGACATATGAGTGAGCGTGGACTTGCAGTGTTGAGTAAACAAGGACTATTGGGTGGAGCGGTGACAGGGAAATTGAAGTTCTGTGAATCTTGTGTTATGGGTAAACAACGCAGGTTGAAATTCAGTCACGGTAAGCACACTTCAACCGAAATATTGCAATATGTTCATTCTGATTTATGGGGTCCTTCCCCAGTTCAGTCTCATGGAAGGAGCAGGTATTTTGTGATGTTTATTGATGACTAATCTAGAAAGGTTTGGGTGTATTTTTTGAAGTCCAACGATGAAGTGTTTGGGCATTTCAAGGAGTGGAAGACTATGGTTGAGAAACGAACTGGGAAATTAGTAAAGACTCTAAGAACAGATAATGGACTAGAGTTCTGCAATGCATTATTTCATGATTACTGTAAAGAAGCAGTATAGTCAGGCACCTCACAGTGAGACATACACCACAACAGAATGGCGTTGCTGAACAAATGAATCAAACACTACTTCAGCATGCTCGATGCATGCATTTAAATGCTGGTCTCTCAAAAGAATTCTGGGCTGAAACAGTTAATACTGCTTCCTATTTGGTGAACAGGTCTCCATCTACTGCAATTGACTTAAAGACTCCTCAGGAGGTATGGTCTGGTAAACCTTTTGATTATTCTGACTTACGTATATTTGGTTGTCCTGCTTATGTTCATGTTAATGATGGCAAATTAGAGCCTAGGGCAATTAAATGTATATTTCTTGGGTATCCTACGGGTGTCAAAGGATATAGATTATGGTGTACTGAAAATAACAGAACAAAAAAATTTGTTATTAGCAGAGATGTTACTTTTAATGAGTCTGCTATGTTTAGCCAGAAAG